CATTTGTACTGCTTTATAATTTAATTAACTGTTTATTTCTTATGTTATCTATCTGTATAAATATATGTAAAATTATCAGCATTCTGATTTTGTTTCCTCCCACGTCCATCACCTCTTTACACCAAAAGTACTCTGCTGGGTGTGGTAGCTGGTGTGTGTGTGTGTGTGTGTGTGTGTGTGTGTGCGCGTGTGTGTGCGCGCGCGCGCTATTTTGGGGTGAAGAAGGTAGGTGGTGATGAAGCCAATAATCCCGGACTTTTAACCCCTCTCAAGTTGTGGTTTTGTGTCCTTGCACCAGAGTATGGACTAGCTTCCAACACCAGCACCCCCAGCCGCCCGCGAGCTGGCAAGGTCTCGGTAATGGGAACCACACGGCGACAGCACCCAGAATCTCAATTGGGCTGGTGGCGCCTTCTCCACTCAGTTTATTTTTTAGCCGTTTCATGGGTACATTTTAGAGTCGTCCATTTTGTGTGGAGTTAGATCCTCCCCCATCAAATGCTGTAATTAACATCACTTAAAATAAAACTTGAATAAAATATTGAAACTTCAAAAAATAACAACTATGAACTAATTTGAAACATTTTTCTTGATCTAAATTGTATTACCTTGAATATCATCATTGAATGTACAATATTGGTTTCGATACTTCTTCAAGAGACGAAATGCATTCATATTTGCAAAATCTTCAAACTGAATAAGGCAGTTCATGCCATATCTGTGTGATTAAAAAAAATTACATTAAAAGTGGTAAACAAAATTTTAGACAAAGGACGATAAAACATTAAATGGGAAAGGAACACCTTTTCTTTTACTTTAAAAAATATTTTATTGTTAAAAAAAAAATATATATATATTTTATTGTTAAAATTTCCTGATGTACAGAAACGTTAGAAGAATTATACCATGAACACACCATCTCGACTCGACCAAGAACATTTGCTACACTTGCTATAGGACCTATCTGTTTGCCTACCCAACGCTTTACCAATACATTGATCCATATTAATTAATTTCAAAACATTCCCAGATTGGCAATTTCTCCCTGGAAAAGTCAGTGACATTGATTCCATTTCTTTCTCTTTTTTTCACTTTTCTTCTTTTTTGTTGTTGTATTGTTTTCTTTTGTTGCTTTGTTTTGCTCTGTCTTGTTTTTGTGCATATTATTGTCTCTGCATGTCTATCTAGATAGATTAGGTGAGATAAACAATCTGGAGGAGAAAACAATGGACCGATGGTTTCAGGAGGATATGGGAGAGCGTGAGGCAGGGGAAAGAAGCCCCCAATAAAATGATATAAAAAGAAGTGAGTGTTAACAAACCCAAGGACAAGGGAATAACAAGTCATCTAAAATCAATGGCAAGGAGGGTGTAAGAAGTCAGGTAGTACTTAATCAAGGACAGTGTAACCGAGAGGAATTACTGAAACCCAAATGAAGGCTGAACGTGATAGTGGGACAAGAGGAAAGTAAAAGGAAATAGAGGAAAGAACTAGGAGGCAAAGGGCATTTATTTAGGTCTAAATATAGGCATGTATACATATAAA